GATKTTCTCTCTCTCTGCCTGTTCTGTTTTTGTTCTGCCTAAAAGCACACAGCTCAAATGGGACCAGGGTATTTTTATTCTGTGGATACAGAAGCAGATGTTCAGGTCAAGCCCAGATACATTCACATGCAGCAGCTGCAGGTTCTGGGCATCCCAGGCCTTTCAGAGCTGGAGGATGTCCGCTGACAGGACCCCAGCCCAGTGACCTGGTTTCTCTAGCAGAGGAACGTAAAGGTCCATGGAGGCAGAGATACTTTGAGGTCAAGAAACAAGCTTTGGTTGGGTGCAGTGGCACGTGCCTGTAATCCCAGCTGCTCAGGAGGCTGAGGCAAAAGAGTGGCAAGTTTGAGGTCAGTCTGGGGTATTTAATGAGACTCTGTCTCAAAATTATATTTTTAAAAAGGAGCTGGGGGTGGAACTTGGTGGTAAGAGTGCTTGCCTATCATGTATGAGTCTCTGAGTTCAATCCCTAGTACTGAAAAAAAAAAAAAAAAAAAGAAAAAGAAAAGAACAAGTTTTAGAATCCCCCAGGGAAACAATTCTGCAATAAATTACAGACTGTATGGTGGTGGAAAGCTTTAAATGCAGACAGACCTGGAGTCCAGGGAAGGCTGTGCCTCCTTTCAGCTGCACAAGCCCCAGCCATCACCCACTCCTGAGCTTGTGGTGTTCTACAGGATAGGGCTCTGCCTACCCTCCCCAGATGGCGCAGAGGAAGAGGCCCTGAGCTCTGGGGGCATTTCCAGGGGCTGAAGGGGAATCTGTCTGACATTCATCTCTCCCTGAGGGAGATGAGTGCCAGGGCCTAGGGTTCATCTCCTGGAGAGAAATGCCTGGTCCTCAGACCAGGGAGAGGCAGTGGGTGACGAACAGGCAGGTCTGACTCYGTACCCCTGTAGGAGTCTTCCCCTTCCTGAGCCTTGGTTTTCTGACCTTTTCAATCTTGCAGCGCAGTTGTGAAGATTGAGATGATGATGTCAGTACTTAGTGCCTGGTGACTGGCCAACAGGAAGTGTTCCATAAATGGCTGGGCAGCATTATTTTCAAAAGCAAGATTGCCCTGTGATGTCCTTGGGGTCACCTGTACAATCTCTGTGCTCAAGACTCTCCTCATTGCCTGGCAGGGACTATAGTAGGAAACATTACTGGCTACCTCACTCCTGGGTTGCTGTCTACTCTGAGGTGGGGCTCATCGGCAGGCAGGGCTTGGGAAGTTGTAGATGTGAACAGGGCCTGTCAGGACAGTCCCAGGTAGAAGGAGAGGCCCTGGAGTAGCAGGGCTGAACCCAGAAGCTTCAGGAATCTAGGCCTCTCCAGACTGTAGGCCAAAGGTAGTGTAGATGGAGACAGGGGCCACAGCTTTCAGACTCTCAAAGGGGGCCATGAGGAAAATAATTAGGAAGTTTGGCCTRGATGTCAGCATGTCAGACATTCAGAGCTCTTGTGGGAGGTCATGGCAAGTGTGGTGTGCCTCAGTCCTATACCCTGGCCCTGGGGGTGAACCTCGCCCTCACACCATCCGTCYGCTGGCCACTACCAGCCAGTGACAGCAATAGTGCCCTGCCTGGGCACATGCTCTGCCTGAGCTCCAAGTCTGGTGGGACCACCAGGCTTGGGGTATGGAAGAGAGACTTGGGCCCAGCAGGTGGGATGGGGATCAGTAGGGCAAACCTCCATGGGGCTTAGCTCAGGACTGGGGGTCTCGAGGTGGAGTAGTGATGGGGCTGGGTGAAAATCCTAAAGACCTGGGAAGATGAGGGCAGAGGAAAGGAGGCCAGCCGCAGGGGCTCCTTCTCATCCATGGGAGAGATGGACCATCAAGTCTAATGCCTTGCCCTGGGGCAAGAACACTTACAAACCCCAAATTCTGGTCTCAAATCCTTATTCAGAGGCCTCAGACTGTCATGGAGGTATAACTGTGGGTGCSTTCCTTTTCTTCTTTCTTTTTAATTTTATTTGTCCTTTCTTGCTTATGTTTTTCTTTTTCTTTTGGCACCGAGGATTGAACCCAGAGGTGCTCAATCCTCAGCCCCTTTTATTTTTTGAGACAAGGTCTCACGAGTTGCTTAGGGCTTCACTAAGTTGCWGGGGCTGACTTTGAACTCATGCTCCTCCTGCCTCAGCCTCCTGACCCCCTGGGCATCACTGTGCCTGGCTATTGCTTATGTTTTTCTCATAAATCACTCAAATTATTTTGGGAAGCAGGAAGAGTACAAATTGAAAGGAAGGGGGAAAAAAGAAAGCTAGTTGTATATCGAATGGTTCCCTGGAGACAGCAGACTCTCAGTTGTGAAACAACTTTTAATGATTCTTTTGTTTGTTTTCCTAAAAGATTATTTTGGATAATTAAAGTAATCATTTTAAAAATGTGGAAATTTTGTAGAAATAAAATATGAAAAAAAAGAATTTCCCTCAATTATTTGTATAATCACAGTATTTAAGCATGTTTCCTTCGAGACTTTTCTTACATGTATAAATTAAAACTTTTTTTTTGTATGTATACCATAACTGGTATACAGTTTTCTTTTAACATAGATAGTTCTCTTTGGTACTAAAATCTCTTTATAAATATCTAAAATACCTCAGTCTTCCATAGTTAGACATTTAGACCCTCCCCCAATTTTACATTATCATAAATAAAACACTGACACAGATCCTTGTCCACAGATTTCTTTTCCAAGTTAAGATTATTTTCCAAGTAAGCAGCAAGACTAGACCTGGATCCAGTTCAGAGAGGCTGGGCCAGTAAGAGTGTGSGTGCTTTTCGGTGTCAGTACGCGCGTGTGTGAGTGTGTCCTTCTGAGTGTGTGTCAGTGTATGTTTGTGAGTGTGTCGGTGTGAGTGTGTGCTTGTGAGTATGTCAGAGCTGCATTCCTGGTTGACCCTGCAGGAGAGGGCAACTGAGGCAGGCCTTCTCCCCAGCCCATTTTCTCAGCCTGTGGATCTTGTTGGAGTAGAAACACCTGGGTCTGAAATCCCTCTGAACCTTCAGGCGGAGCAGAGCAAAGCCCTCAGGCCTGTGATCAGATATTCCCCTGCATCAGGGCCCCTGTGGGACGCCAGAGGTGAGTGGCGCCTGATGCAGTGTTTATGTGCTGCAGGCCGGCCGGCCTGCCCAGCTGCACAGGCTCCGCTCAGATGCGCTGGGACCCAGCTGAATCCCAGGACAGGCTGGGCTGGTTTTCTCCTCAGAAAGACTAGTCGGTGGGGTCAGCCAGCGGATAAGCTAAAGTTAACTTAGCTCTTATTGCGTTTTGTTAATGAGGGGCGGGCCAGCTGCAAAGATGCCAAATCATTCAGAAACGTTGTGCAGAGCTTGAGATTTAATATGTCAGAGCAAATCCTGTATTCAGGCAAAAGAAAGCAATTGACAATGATTTTAAGTCCTGACTGGGCTCCCTTGAGTCCCTTGTGCTTCACTGAGCTTTCATTTTATTATTTTTTTGAAAAATATTTTTCCAATGAAGTTATGACTCTTGGAAGCTGGGGGAAGCACAGGCGACCTCATTGGACTGGTCAGAGTCGYGGGAGATCTCATGATGGGAAGCTCAGGTCTGGCCAAGCTCTGAGTGGGTGGAGGATCGGGTTCATAGGGGGTTCTGTGACCAGGGCTGTCAGGTGGCCGAATACCCATCCTCTGTGATTGTAGGGGCTGAGRGAAAAGGAGCAGAAATTGCCTTCCCTGGGCATCAGTCAACAGGAACAAACCGTCTCATTCTCAGAGACGAGATTCAAAGGCAGAGCTGAATATCCTGGGTGTTCCTGAGCCAAGATCACTTGACTTGTAGCTTGAAATTCCAAAGCCTGCTAGCGCATTCACAGAGGCTGTTCAAAGTGACCTCCTTTGACAAAGAAGCAAAGCACCCATAGGATTGAAGTCACTTGAAAAACTTTGTTAAGGTCACTGGGCAAACATATTTAAAACACTTTAAAGAATTCATATTTGAGATGTTCCTGCTATAAAGTAGTCTCTGAGCAAGTCTAACAGAAAGCTTGGTCATGAGCTGGGCCCATAGCTGAGAGCTCAGAGTGAAAAGTTCTTTTTTATGTGCTGCCTRTTGGCAGCCTATCTACTGTGCACCGGGCACAGCGCTGGGCTCTGGGGGAAGGGGATGCAAAGACTGGATTTTTCACCTATAGTCTTAGTGCTAAGAGCAGGTGAGGGGGAGAATCCATTCTGATCAGGGCAAGRCCATAAAGTAATGCCTGAGCTGCACTTGAAGAACGAACACAATAGTGATGTTCACAGAGAAGGGTCTGGAAGGCAGGGGACGTGGCCTGAGCAGAGGCATAGGATGGTACCAGTAGTGCCCCTGGGAAGATGGATTGTTGGGGAACTGAAAAGGCTGAGGATGGAGAGGATATGGTGGGCTGTTGCCAGGTGATTGAGAACTTTGATATTCATCTTAAGGAGTGTGGACTTTGTGTAGCTCATAATGACCCACGGGAACTTTATGAGCAGGGAGGTAACTTGTAAACATCAAGTGATTTTTTTTTTTTTAATGAAAAGCAAACTCATAAATATATGTTCATTGAAAGTGACTCCAGCCATGGGCTCCCGTTGTGACTCAGTGGTAGAGCACTTGCCTAGCATGTGTGAGGCACTGGGTTCGATTCTCAGCACCACATATAAATAAATAAAATAAATAAAGGTTCATCGACAACTAAAAAATACTTAAAAAAAAAAAAGAAAGATACTCCAGCTATATCGAAGTCTATTAAGCAAGAGATGAAGACTCCTCCTATCCAGAGGTAACCACTATTCTGAYTTAGGATGTCATTTCACCCCGTGTATCTATAGATATAAGTACACAAAAGCCAACCCTGTGACAGGAAGGGAGATGGAACTATCAGACCTTCTCCCCCATCTCTTCCTCTCCTCTCTCTTTCACACACAAAACCCTACTTAATATTTAACCTTTATATAAAATAGTACCGTAACCAAAGGGTATATGTGTCTTGTCATGCGGCTCATTTTGTGTTCCTTTGTGTTATTTCAGAGCATGGTTTTGTTGGATATTCACCAGAACTACTACAGAACAACACTCTGCCAGATTACAGTCCCGGGGAGACCTTTTTCACTGTGTTTGGGGTGTTCTTCCCAGCAGCTACAGGTATTACCATTTGGATTCTTTTTCACTCACACATTAGGAGTGTATATTCTTGGTTCCCAAAATTCAGTGTCAGAACTGTCCTGCCTGCACATGCTCTTAAGATGTATATCTGACTTTAGAGATGACATTGGCTTTGACTAAGAATCTATTAGAATAACAATTCATTTACTTGCTCATAATTCCTGAAGGCCTCAGCATGATTTTATCCTCCTTAGCCCTAATACTCATATATTGATAACTCTTGGCCAAATTAACAGAGAGCCTCTGTTTGTCTTAGGGCTGAGCAGGATGGATTCCCCAGCTTGACAGGCTCCCCTCCTCATACCTGGAAGGAGTGCGTACTTGGTTTAGAAACTCTTCCCACCCCCTCCTTTCCCATTGCATATTCTTCCAGGGGGCCTGGCTGTGTAAGGTCCCGCAGGCAGTGAATGAATCTCTTCACTTGGACCGATTCCCACTTTCCTGCTCTTCAGTAGCCATGGAGCAACGTTCTAATACGAAGGTCCCTGGAGATGGCTTGCCTTGTGCATGCGTCCCTGGCCTGGAAGGCAGTAAACTAACACATTGATAGGTAACCCACAGGAGATATGTTCAGGGACTGGGCTTGTCCCCAAGGCAAAGACTCAGAGGAACATGTCATTCCCTATTTAGCTAGTGTTGTGAGCTGGAGTGTGGCTGCTGCTTTCTCCTTGTCTTCCGCCCTGTCTCCCTCTACCTTCCTAGGGGTGCCATATCCCTGCTCATTACCCTCTCCCCAAATAGGATAGGAGTAGAGAAAGAAGAAGCTACTAGAATGTCTAAGATGAAAAAGGCAGTATGCATGTCAAAAATGTGGAGACACTGGAACCCTCATCCACTACTCATGGCATACAAATGGTGCTACCACTTTGGAAAACAGTGATAGCTTCTTAACAAGTAGACACACACCCAGCATGTCACCCCTGCTTATGYACTGCAGAGGACTGACAAAGCATGTGTTCATATGAAGACTTGTCTGTGAAAGTTCAAAGCAGTTCAATTTGTAATAGTTCCCAAATGAGAGCAGCTTGAATATTCATCAACAGATGAACAGTTAAATCTCAGTACAGCCATATAGCAGGAAACTATTCAACAATAAAAACAAATGAATTATTTATGTACACAACAAATACATGAGTTCAAAACCATTATGATAAGTTAAAGAAGTCAGACCCCTCAAAAAATACCTAAAAAGATAAAATTAGATAATCAAATTCTAGAAAATGCAAGCTTTAGTAACAGCAAGCTGATCAGTAGGTACCTGGGAATGAGATTTAGGGAGCAAGAGGGAAGGATTATTAAGGGGCAGGAAGAAATTTCAGGGGATGAAAAATGCATTTATGATTAGATGATGGTTTCACAGGTCTCCCCAAATGGGAATATTCATCAATAGATTAACAGTTAAACAAAACTTTTCAAATTGTTAAACTTAAAACATATGTACCCAAGCACCGTGGTGCACACTTGTAATCCCAGCCACTCAGGAGGCTGAGGCAGGAGGTTCACAAGTTCTAGTCCAGTCAGGGCAACTTAGCAAGGCTTTATCTCAAAAAAAAAAAAAAAAAAAAAGGTTGGGAATGTAGTTAATTGGTAGAGCACCCCTAGGTTCAATCCCTAGTACCACAAAAACAAACAAACAAAACAAAATCACATATTCGGTTTATTGCATGTTAATTATACCTCAATAAAGATGTTAAAATGAAAAAAAATTGACTTTATTCACCTTTCCTAAATTTCACTTTTCCAAAGCCCTTTTCTCTCCTTTTCACAGCCTGCCTCCCTTTTCCTAGCCTCTCCTCTACTCCCTCACTCTCTCCTTTTGGAATTCCAGGTCTGTCTCTCCGAAGAGATGGGTCTTTTCCCACCACTGACTTCCCTGTTAGAATCTTCAGTGGACATTCTTGATTTCTTGCTTTATTCGACTCCTGAGAAGTAATCCGCTTCTTGTTTCTTTCTCTTGCCTTGTGTTTCCGACTCTTTACTGCCAGAGTTCATCCTCTTCTGCCTGCTCATTAAATGCTACTGAGATTCATTCTTTTCTTTCTCTACTGTTTTCCTTGGAATCTCATCCCTGCCCATTATTCAGTGATCAGCCCCAGAGCCAATGACTCCCACATTCACAACTCTAGCCTAGACTTGTCCTTGAAGGTTCCCATTATTTATTCATTGTTTACTACATGTGACAGTTCTCATTATTTATTCAGGTTCCCATTATTTACTCATCATTTTTTATATGTGACATCTTCTTTTGGCTATGTTGGACCCAACAGGTTCAGAACCAAACTCATCCCACCTGCCTCCAAGTGACTCTTTACCTGTACTCCTGGTCTAAGTGAATGGTGTTTCTGTGCAGCCGATTGCTCATGAGAGTAAGGGGAGTTCTTGGTGATTCCTCCCTCTTTCTCCCAGTATTCTCCAATACTGTCAATTTTACCTCCTAAATATCATGGATTTTCTCTTTTCTTCCTCTCTGCCATCTGACCAGTCTGGTCCAAGCTTCATCTCTCACTTGGATCATTGCTTGACATTCCTTGTTCATGGAAATGAGCCTGAAACTAAGGCTCAGTAGTGACAGGTCTTGGTGCACAAACCCACATTTGCTGGATAGAGTGACTGTAAGCCTTTATCCTGCCAGGAAGACTTAAAACTAATGTCAGTCCTTCATGACACCTTCTCCTGGCCTTGCCCTGTTTGCATCCATTCCAGGGTCTTGGGGTCCTACACTGTACCAAGGGATATTGGGATCTCTGGCTCTTCTCCATCTGTGTACAGAGCCAGGCCCTCCTGTTGTCCTGTGTGCAAGGCCTTCAGGTTGACGCTGCCTCTGCACCACTTTTGGGAACCAGAAATCTGYTGACCATGGGGGCCCTGTGGTCTAGGTATTTTCCAGACCGTCCTTTCTGAGGTCTTGCTAAATCTCCCCCAGTGCTGCCAGGGAATGGGAACAAAGTCCCCATTTCTCCAGAATCTCTGGGCTTCTCTTTCCTTGTCCAGGGACACCTCTGCCCAGGGACAGCTACATGGGAATTGATTGATGCAGTCACAATGGGCCCCATGCAGAAAAGTGTTTAAGGCTTTGCAATTGCTAATTTTTTTTTTTTAATCAAGGGATCCTGAATTTTTGTTTTGACTGAGTCCCATATACCATGTGGTAATTCCTGTTCTTGTCCCCCACGCTGTCCCAGCCATTTGCCTGGTTCTTTTCAACTTCTTCAATCTTTTAAAATCTGAGGGCCCAGGCTATGGAGTCAAGTCAAAACAGTATGCAGATGAATTCTGATTCTTCTCTGCTGCACATCTTCCCCAAGGCCATCAAATCTAGGTCAGTTTCCTCTTCCATGGAGGGAAGAGGAAAGGGAGAAAAGAGAAGGAATAAGAAAATWTCACATCTGACACATTCTAGCCCCCTTCCAATCCCTCCCCTTCCACACTCTAATTGAAGTTCCCTGGGGTCTGGCAGGGAGTCCCTGCCAGGTGAAGGCTGGGTCAAGATACGGGTTAACAGTTACACCTGGGACTGGGACTGTGGGACTTCTTGGCTGGCCATGCTCCAGAGGCAGTCATCTCAGGGTGTCCTTGGGCACCCCAGGAGAGCCCTGATTTCCCCATAGTTTGCATATCCTCCTTTGCCTCTGAGGGCCCCTAGTCCTGTTAAAAGAGAGGATGCCTGATATGAGTTGCGGGCTGGGGTGTAGAACCTCCTTTCCAACACTTCTTTCAGACAGGAATTAGCAGTGGCCTGAGTTTTGAGGATGCCCCCAGCAAACCAGAGTTGGAGAGATCAGCTAGTTCAGCAACTCTCAATTTGCTTTTTTTTTTTTTTTTTTTTTTTGCGGTACCAGGGATAAAACCCAGGGCCTCATGTATGCTAGGCAAGAAGCTGTCTACCACTGAACCACAACTCCAGCCTCTTCAATTTATTGCCTTTTAAGTCCATACTCCTCCTCCTCCTCCTCCTCCTCCTCCTCCTCCTCCTCCTCCTCCTCTTCTTCTTCTTCTTCTTCTTCTTCTTCTTCTTCTTCTTCTGTACTGGGGATTGAACCCAGGGGTGTTTAATTATTGAGCCACATCCCCAGCCCTTTCTATTTTATATTTTGAGACAGAGTCTTGCTAAGTTGCTTAGGACCTTGCTACTGAGGCTGGCTTTGAACTTGTGATCCTCCCGCCTCAGCCTCCCCTGTTGCTGGGATTAYAGCCRTGCTCCACCACACCCCCCAACCCATATTCCTTATTGATAATCATTATTAGAAACCTCACAGACACCGAAGGTTCTGCCCCAGGGATGGGTGCGTTTGTCTTCCTTTGAGAATAATCACTACCTAAGAATATTAGTCAAGATTCATTTTTTTGGGGGTGTGTGGTTTAAGTTATGAAAGTTTTATTTTGTAATATTCCAAATATTATAATACTGAATAGGCTGTCACTACACAGTCTTCTTCAGCTCGATCCTCTTCAGGGATGGGTTTTCCTGCCCTCCCGTTCCCTGTCAGCCCAACCAGGTTGAGAATCACTGATCCTTCCCTCTACCAACTGGGGAAGGAGGGGCACAGAGCGGCTTAGGAGGACTTGAGAAAGGTCACCAGCTAATTAGTGAGTGGAGTTGGGCCATTGTCTGCTGTGGGGGTTGCCCTCCCCTGGTTCTCTCTGTTTACCAGGACCCCCCATGTAAACATGGTAGGCAGGATGGATGATTTGTACCACTTGTTTCCCCCTGGCAGATGTTTGGTTGAGCTATGAAAAGCATGGATGATTGGCAGTTTCCATGGTGATAGATTCGCCTAGGATTAGCTGTGAGTGAGTCATGGCTGGGGCTCCCTCCAACGCCATCCTCTTCTGGAACAAGAGAACCTCCAGGCAGTGGAGAGGGGAGAGAGGTTTTGAAGAACAGACACTTCTGCCCCCGCCACCCCAGGACATATGACTTAAGTTACTTCAGACATTTTATCCCAAAGGCAGGCGACTTCCGAAGAGCAGCTGAAGAT